ACACTTAGTGAAATTTTCATCAAGTTAGGCATATTTTTTGTCCTAACTTCTTGGCCAATGTTCACCAAGCTCCAAGATGATTTAGCCAAAGTGGTCAAAATAAATGTTGTTGAAAATTTTCCAAGCTTTCCAAAATGTCAAGTAACGATCATGCTTGAGCTAGAATTTTCGAAGAGATGAATATGGCATCATAAACTTGAATTTTAGGTCATTTTGTGACGAACCTTATGATCCAATCTCAAGCCATGTTGTATAATATTGCTTTGCAGGCCTCTTGACTTGCAAATTTAACCATAATCAGATGCTTACACAACTAATTGATCTATGATCCAAGAGTTTGATCCATTGTCCAAGTGATCATTCCCTTAATGAAACAAATTTCACACTTCCATTTTGGAAAAGTGACTTTAATCACAAAGTCAGCTTGTCTTGAGCCTCTAACTTGTTTGTTATTATCACACTCAACATGTATTCTCATAAGCAACATGTTTAAAGCCTCTATCCACCCTACAAGCCCTTGTACCTTTTCCTTGGAACAATGTTTTTCAAGCTTGCTTCAAAATCAAGTCACATAACCATAACATGTGATCTCTTGATTCTAATTGTTTCAAGCTCCCAAACCTTTCCCTATAAATAGAGGTCATCTTTGCAAGATAAGACACAAATGCACAAGCCTTGAAACACTCTGAAACTCATTTCCACATAAACAAATATCTCATACATCCCAAATCAGTCATCTCAAATTCCCTTTTCATTGAGATCTTGAATTCTTTGAAAATTTTCTCGCTGCTTCCTGTAAAGACGAGGTCATCCACATACAAGTTCACAATAAGAACATCTCCTCCCCCTTCCTTCTTTGTAAACAAAGTGTGATCACTCGTGCTTCACTCAAAGCCTTCATTGACAAAGTATGATTTTATCTTGCTAAACCATGCTCGAGGGGCCTATTTAAGCCCATATAGAACTTTCTTTAGTGTACACACTTTGTCCTCTTCACCTGTCACCTCATATCCCTTCGGTTGTTCCACATACACTTCCTCTGTTATCTCTCCATGGAGGAATGCACTCTTGACATCAAGTTGATAAACTTTCCAGCCTCGACTAGTTGCAATAGACACAATTAGTCGAATTGTATCCCATCATTCCACAGGTGCAAATACCTCAGTGTAATCAATTCCAGATTGTTGAGCACAACCCTTCTCTACAAGACGAGCTCTGTATTTGTCTACTTCTCCTCTTTCATTCATCTTGGTCTTAAATACCCATTTAACACCAATCTTCTTTGCTCCTATTACAAGATCTATTAGTTACCATGTTTCATTCTTCTCAATTGATGTAATCTCACACTCAATTGCATCCCTCCATACCTAACTTTTGGTTGCTTCCTCAAAGGTGATGGGATCATTTGACACAAACATGACAAGTTATTGCATTTCCTGGGTGAGTTATTCCACTCATTCCTGTTCCACTCCTTCTTTTTCCTCTTCTGACAATCCGACTCTAGACTTATAGTCTTTCATTCGTACTGGCTCCCTTCTTCTTCTCTTTTCAGGAACATTGACTCTTTCATCTTCTGAATCTTCACTCTCCTTATTCTCTACATTTTCTTTTCACATAAGATCAAGAGAATTAGTCTCTCTTGATTTCTTCCAATCCCACTTTTCAATTTCATCAAATAATACATCTTGACTAATGATGATCTTCTTTGTTTCTGGATCATACATTCTGAAAGCTTTGGAATCCTCACTAACTCCTACGTACACACACTTGGTGCTCTTCTCATCCAACTTTTTCCTTGTGACATATGGAATATGAACGTGTCTTATGCATCCAAACACCTTGAGATGTTCCACTGATGGTTTTTTCTCTTTCCAGGATTCTTCAGGTGTCATGTTTGGCAAGGCTAAGATTGGACATCTATTCAGAACACGAGTGTCCAGGTTTGTTGTTTCTGGCCAAAACTCCTTCGAAACATCTCGTGGTGTAAACATACATCTCACCATATTCATCAAGGTTCAGTTTCTTCTTTCCGCAGCTCCGTTCTATTGTGGTGAGTAGGCGACAATGAGTTGTCTTGCGATTCCATTAGTGCTACATTATTCATTGAACTATGATGAAGTGGACTCTCCACCTCTGTCGATGCACAAATAGATTATGATGTATCATATTTCCTTCTCAACTGATGATTTAAACCTTTTGAATGTATCAAAAGCTTCAGACTTCACATGTAGAAAGTAGGACCATATTTCCCGACTATAATCATCTATAAGAGTAATGATATACCTTTTATTACTGTGAGATTCAGGAGTAATTACACCACATATGTCTGAATGAATTAGTTGTAGAGGTCCGGATGCTCTCCAAGTGCTTGTCTTTGGAAAGGGATCACATTCCTGCTTTCATGTCATGCATATGGTACACACGTTGGATTGATTCTTCAATATTGACAGGCCTTGAACCATCTTCATATAGTCAAGAGTCTGCAATCCTTTTATGTTGAGATGACTGAACCTTTGATGCCATAATCTTGTTACATTTTCAAAGGTTGCACTAAAACAAGATGCTTTTGATATATTATTAGGGGCAGATGGAATATATGCCAAAAGCAGAAACATACGATTTGCGGATATCACAGTCTGTATTATCAAACCTCTAATATCATGATATATGCTACAACATTCTTTCTTAATCAGTATGGATAGATTTAGTTATTGAAGATGACCAATGCTAAGAAGATTTAGTTTGAGTTCGGGAATGTAAAATACCTTGGTGATTACCACAAATGGTCCATCAATTTTCATTCGGATGTTGCCTTTTCCCATGACAGCCAATTTGAAGTCATTTCCCAACTTAACATTATGTCTAAATGATTGATCAAGTTCAATGAACCATTTCTTGTTTCCGCTCATGTGATAACTACATCCGGAGTCCATAAACCATACATCATCTCGTGTGGATCCTTGCATTTCCACATATGACATAAGCAACATCTCTTCTCCTTCATCCAGCTCTATATGTTATGCATAATTGTCATAAGTGGGACATTCATACTGGAAATGTCCCAGCTTGTGACATCGATAACACTCAACTCTGGATTTGTTGAATGCTCTGCCTCTGCCTCTGCCTTTGTGTCCACCACACCATCTTCCTCTGTCACTGAATCGTTCATCATCTCGTAAATCAGAGTTGTCTCCTGTAACCTTCAATGCTTGCTCAGTCACTTCCTTCTGTTTATCTTGTATTCATGTACAAGCAATAAACTGTGCAGTTCATATACTATCATCTTATTGATATCCTTCATGTTCTCTCATGCTCCTCTCATGTCATTTGCAATTAACATGACTCTAGAAATATAATCATTCACGCACTCACCGTTTTGTATTTCCAGAATTTTAAAACCCCGACGTAGCCTTTGGAGTTGAGCTCGCAGAACATGAGCATTCCCTTGACATTTTTGCTTCATTGGATCCTAGAGTGCTTTGGAGGTGCCTTTGTTGGTGATCGTTTTCAAAATATTATTGTGAATAGATTGAAACAGATAACTCTTTGCCTTCATGTCCTTTAGCTTTTTCTCCTCCAAGGTTCGACATTCTGCTCTTGTTAGTGACTCAGGTGTTTTAGGCTCTTCATAGCCTTGCTCCACTAAGATCCAGTACTCCTTTGATCTCAACAAATTTTCCATTAACATTGGACCAGTGATCATAATCTCTGTCAAACTTTGGAATACTGAGAAGATTATTAACGTCAACCATGGCTTGTTGTCGCCTCCTCTCATGTGTTTCACTCAATTTCTCTCTTCGTTATTTCTAAAAAAAATAAGCCCTTATGTGAGCTCTGATGTCACTGATAAATTTAGATTGTAGCTCTTAAAGCTTGATTTATTCAATGAGTTAAATAGCTTAATATAGCCAATACAAAAACTGAAAATGAGAAAAATAAGAAGTCATAACTTACACGACTATATTATAGCTATTTCTAAGAAAGAATAAATCAGCAAAGAATCCTACCATTAAAGAATAGGTTTATTAAAAAAAATAAACAATTAACCTTAAATTTGAATAAATCATTACTTATTCCACAAATAACTGGCACAGTTCCATGAGAGTCTTCAATTTCTACAACTATTTTTTTTTTTTTTTTAAATTTATTTCTCAATTCATTTTAAAATAAATGCATCCAGCATAAATGTCATTAGAATCAATTTTACTTAAACAACTCATTCAAAATTAATTTATTTCACTGCGAGTGAAACACACTTTAATGTTTCATATGCTGTCTCTTAGCTCTATTGTAAGGAATATGTTCTTAATCTTTACAAAAAAAGCACCATCTAGATTCGTTGGTCAATTTGGCTCATGTCTGCAAAACATTTATATTCTCCACCCAAACCAATCTTCACCTTTTCTTTTATCTTTCTATCTTTTTTCCCCTTTTAAACCAATCCAAATCTTGAATACATAGATACATTACTATTACTATCACAAATCACACATAAGGGAACATTGCATGTCTTGCTCCTAGTATGTCTACATTATCTGTATATTGAATATGAGACCAATTTTGGTAAATATTGACATGATGCCTCATCTACACGCCAAGTGACAAGTGGTAGAGAATCTTCATCACTTAGAAAGAGTGATATAAAAAACTATAAAACTTTTTTAAATATTATTTGACTTACATGAATTGAATATTGACCCAACTCATAAAATACAGTTGGGTAATTAAACATATAAATGGAGAAAAAATAATTATTATTCATCATATGCTAAATGACCAAAAGAATTGGCCAAAAGAAAAAAGTACATGAAAAAATAATCATGGGTTAGATGTTGTTGTAATTTTTGTCCTATAATTCTAAACTAAGGTATAAACTAAACAACATTATTGTATAAAAAAATACATAAAATGTTTTCTGATGAGCAGTATATTTGAATTTATTATGAAACACAGTGATTCTATTAAATTCATCGTCAATTTAAGGATTGACTAAAATTATCTTAATTTGCCGAAGTAACGTGTACTCTCGGACTTGGAATTCCCATATGCACAAGTCTAGGAGACAAGTGAATTTTTGGACTAGGTCTTGGTGAAGGAATAGGTATCATATTAGTGACTTTTCCATTGTTGACTCTAGGTGATAGATTGAGTTGTTCAAGGGCCTTAGCTTGGAGTTTTGTAGGGTATTCTCTCACACAACCAATCCTAGGACCAGCTCCTGTGGTCCATTTGCTTGACAAAGGTTTGCACTCTTTATGTTGTGAAGTTGTCACATTGTTTTGGCTACACTTGATAGAGTCACTTGATGTTACATTAGTCTTGGTGGACTCAAAGTGAACCTCATTGTCAACATGTTCTGGAGGTGGAACATCATCATCAATTGGATACTTCTGTATTAGGAAAACATTGAGTTAAGTACAAAATAGTTATACATGATTTCTCAACATGTTGTGCTTAGTGATTTCAATTCAAAGACAATTATAGCCTAATTTATAAAGAGAAATTTGCATTATTGAAATTATTTAATTTACTACCTTTACATTTGTCAAATCCACATTGTGTTCCATCAAGAAGCCAATGAATTCCATGAAATTCTTCTTTGTAGGACGATAGTGACCACTATAGGGCCATATAGCCTGAAAAAAAATTAATCAACATCAATTTGCATATAAAGAAAGTTTACTGCTTTTCAACTTTTTTCCTCAAATTTAGGTTTTGGAGCTTAAAAGTTTATTTTGTTTTTTCTTTACTTGGATGTGCACTTGTTGTAAATCTATTGAATTTAGAAAAGAGAAATATCAAATCTAAATTCAATAATTCTGCGACAAGTCCCCGAATATCAATTCAATTGATAAATACGTAGAAACACAAAAAATAAAAGAATTAGAAGACCGGACTTTGATTCGTGGATTCATGAAAAATGCGAGAAAAAAAATACTAAAATAAGAACTAACATGCTAATCGCACAAATTTTCTTTTCGCATGTGTCCGAAGGTATACTTAGATAATCAATGAGAAATATGTAGAAAACAGGGATAATATCTTACATGAAGAACACCATTTTGGACAACCAATCTTCCAGAAGCAATAGTAGCACCACCAGCTAGAAAACTTGAGTGTTGAAATTGTCCTTTTTTCTTCTCTCCAACATATAAAATTCTTGAAGAGCTAAGAACAAAAATCCACTTAGATCCTTCATAAGTGTGTACAAAGTTCTTGCTTTTCCTATAAACAAATTTTCCTTCCTCCATAATCACTTCATAAACCTCCCTTTCTTTCTGTATAAGCAATCAAAAAATAAGTTAAACTACTTATAATAGAGAATATTTTAGTGGCTGCTCAAAATAATATATAAAGTCAAAAACTATATGCTCAAATATATTCATAAAGTATGGTCTAATTAATGCATTGAATACACTAACATAAATTTAATTTAATATACTTGTTAATCAAATCCTAAGATGTACCACTTGCACTCTATAATTGACCAAACTAAATAGTACATGCATTGAATTCCATCATTAATATGAAAAATTATAATATAAAATCCAATTAAATTATATATTGTGTGACAGTGTTAGATGAAAGTGAAAGAACTTACGGGTCCAAGATATTTTATACACTGCTTCTGTAAATCAATTCTTGGACATTCGTCACGATTTACTTCTTTTCCATCTCCAACATCCAACCTTTATGTCACACCATTACAAAATTAGTGATCAAAGTTGCTTTAAATGTTAATACATGTTTAGTATTATAATTAAAATGTTTTAAAAATTTTACCAATAGAAAAAAGGTTGAGTGCTCTGGCTATGAAACCAAACATTATAGTATAAGTGCAAGTTGTGTCCATATCGATGTCGAGGATCAATCTGCAAAACATAAAATAATCTTAAGTTTTAAATTTGTTTTACTGATATACATAACAAGACTATAATATATCGTCATCGATAATAATTAAAATATATAAATAAATTAAATATAATCATATGTGATACATACTCAAGCATGTTGGATATCAACTTAATTAAGTCAACAATTAGAGATATGAACTTACAGCTTCAAGCCAATGTCTAAGTGCTAATTTCTGTGCTTTATCATCTTTACACAATCCTTTTCCCACCTACCAACATCCAACAAACAAAAAAAAGTTAATTGATGACAAATTCTTAAAAGATTGTGTCGGAAAGTGAATGAAAACTTTGAATTCTTCTCTATGGTCCAGTCAAATATATAATTGAAAAATCTAAATTAATATCTAATCAATTATATTTCACACACACATATTCATTTGATAAAAAAAAACGTGTCTAACACATTTAAATATATGACGCAGACACAAATATTTGTGTCAGTGTCATGTCAGAAATTTGTGCCACTATATAACTGAATCAAAAAACATTAAAAATATGCTAATGCTATTCACCATTATCCAAAAGATTATTCAAAGATTATAGCTTTTGACATTAAAAAGTACCTTAGCAGCCATAGTTCTAGCTCTAGCCCATTTTGAAAGAGCAGTTTCTGATTTAACTGAATCAAAATGTGAAATAGAACACCTACTAAGTGCAGCAAAATCTAAAGCCTTCCACCTATAAAAAATTTATTAAAAAAAATCAAAATATATTTAACAAAAAAAAAAAAAAACATAACAAAAATTGAAACTAACCATAGCTCTTCACACACAACAGCACAATCTGCTAAATTCCTTCTAGTCCTATAACTCTTATAAACCTTCTGCAGCTTTATTGCAGCAACATCAAGCTCTCCAATGGATTTTGGCGAAAACCAAATTTCTGGCTTATCCAACAAAATAGAAGGACTTTGTTTATTGAAAACATCATCAATAAAACCATCTTTTGAACCAGAATTTTGCGTAACCAAATACTTGAATGAAAATGTAGTTTGCAGCTTCAAATTTCCAACTTTCCTTCTCTTTGAACATGTTGATTCTTCTTCAGCAATAACATCTCCGGTTATCGTCATCATTTGTAACCGATTTTAGTTATTGAAAAATGAACACTTAAACACTCTTTTATAAGGCTAAAGTTTGGTATATATGAAAAGAGTGAAAAATATTTTCAAATATGATAGAGAAAGAGAGTTTGAAATATTTATTAAGGAATTAAATAAAGAAAATTTGTGTCTATTAGTAGTCCCTAAAATGGGTTGTTTTGAATGAAGAAATAAAAAATGGTGACTTGAAGAAGGTGTTACATGAGTGTGCATGTGTATATGAAAAGTGTTGTACGCGGTGATGTGAATTAATTGAATGAAACAGAAACAGAAACAGAATGAGTCAAAACCTTAAAAAGGGGTACTTATTAATATCTATATAATATATGATTTTTTTATCACTTTAAATATATTAACTTTTAATTTTACTATTTTAAAAAATGTTTTTCGAATTTTGCTACCTTCAAATTTTCTATTTTCGCTTATTGATTTTATATTCATTTTTTAATTTTATGAAAGTTCCTATAGTATGTTTTGCATTTTTTTTTTATATTTCATTGATAAAATTTTAAAGTTAAGGAATCGAAAATATGATTTGCTATTAGTTAAAATTTGATTTTAAAAAGTTAAAGACATGACTTTTAAAATAATTTTTTAATAAAGAAGTGGGAATTAAAATTGATATGAGCCAAAATTTAAAAGATATTTATTAAGAGGTTGAAACTGAAAATTAAAATATTTAACGGAACAAAAAATATATATGTAATTTTATAATTTATATAGAGCTTTCGAATCAGTTTATTTAAGTTTATGTGAAATAAGTTAGGCCTAGTAAAATGTTTTCTGTCTTTCAATTTTTTTATTAAAATAATTTTTTTGTCATATAATATAAAGGCTGAAGTTCATTCTTTAAAAGTGAATAAGTGGGATGTCCCATAATTAAATCTGAAACCTTGCTTCTAATAAGTGACTTGCACCTAATTTCTCAGTATAACTTCTCACTAAATTGATTTAACGAAACTCTATTAAAATAATATTTATATAAACATTTATTGAAATCGGTCATTATTATGGTTAGAAATAGGTCAGACCGACTTACAGAAGCTTTGACTTAATCTATTTGAGATCAGGTTAGATTAGATTTATTTACTAAAATGGTCAAGCTTAAGCTTTTTTAAAAGTGTATTTAATTAAATAGATCATACTTAAACTATTAAAAAAGCTTATAAAACTTTATAAATCGACATACATATATATATATATATATATATATATATATATATATATATATATATATATATATATATATATATATATATATATATATATATATATATATATTAGAAAAGTGTTAAATAGGCTGACATATATATGTATACATATATATATATATATTAGAATTTTTTTTAAATAAGACGGCTTATATATGCATATATATATATATATATATATAGGTCGACCTATAATGTTTCTTAAGTAATATGAATTTATTGAAAACCTTAATGAAAAACAAACTTTTAAATAGGCTTTCAGGCCAAACCGGACTTTTAAAAAGGCCAAGACAAAAAAATGAGTCTATACCAATCTTCAACTCTTATCATAGGTTTATTACTAAGGAAACGGAGAAACGATCCAACCTTTTTTTAATTTGTTTCTCTTTTCATTCTTTCATCGTAAGGGTGACTTTTGGTTTTAAATCACCCAGTAACACCATTTTTTCCCTCTTTTTATTTAAATGAGTGGTTTTCCACATAGATTTGCTTCTTTTTTTTTTTTTTTTTTTGTATTTTTAAGTTTTCGCCATCTTGTGCGGTATTTGTTGATTTTTCTGTCTTAGTATGGTGTTCGTTGGTTCATATTGACATAATCAATTCAACTCATTACAGATCTGATGAAGACTTGGGTGTCAATGTTGCAGATCCGGAAGTATGAATATTTCGGCTACTTTTATTTTGTCATATTTGTAGACACTTTCTTGTTGCGGTTGTATGCTATTAACCTAGGCGCTGCAAGATTGTTTGCATATTCACCTTTTTTCCATTTTTAGCAATCTTAAATCTGTAATGGTCAATATATTTTTCAATTTGAATAAATAAATATCTTTTTAGTAAAAAAAATCATGGATTCATTACTGTGCAAATTTAAAATAAAAACTAATCAAACACATACCACTTTGCATCCTCTCCTTTTTTTCTCATTTCCTCTCCTTTTTCTCTACCTCTCTCTTAAGTTCATTCTCTCTTGATCCTATTTTGTTTTTTTTAATGATGAGTGAGGGAAATTAAGAGATAGATAGAGAGTTAGGAGATGAGAGAAAAATAAAAGAGAGGATCCAAGTCCAACAAATAGACAATTAATCCATATTAATATTTATTAAAAAAATTACAATTTTCATTTTACAATATAATCAATTCTCTATTTAAGGAGCTTCTTTCGCTCTGAAGAATCCCTTTGACCCCCCACCACCCCCTTCCACCAGAGTTGCAGATTACATATTTTAAACTTTAATATATACTTCAATCCAACCATTTGTAATATATATACTCGGTAGTTAAAGTTTTTTTATCAATAAAATTAATCATAGACAAAAGTATAATGGATAAAAGTGTATTTAATTTTAAAAACAATTTTAAGACAGGTAACAAACGTATCCGTAGATTAAACCTCTATAACCCATAATCTAAATGGAAAATTCCACATAGACCAAATTTTAAATGGGCTAAAAAAAGTAGTGTAAAACACGCGTGGACTGCGAGTTATATAGGTTGGTTCACGATCCTCAGTCTATACGCTCAGCTCTAGCTGCATGTATACGGTCATTGAATTGCAATAACAATCACTAAAGATGTGTATCTTGATTAGGTAGATACATGCAAACACAATTTACAAGGTATAATCATTTGACCAAAAGGTGCAACAATGTGAAGATGTGATTACTTGTGTGCCAAATTATAGATTCAATGAAAATCATTAGCAAATAGGGCCTCATACCCTTAGATAAGGGATTATATAAATTCACATTTTCTTCTTTAGAAGATGTTAGTAGTGCTAGAGCCATTTTTTTTCTTTTTGGAGTATAAACTTGAGGTTTTTGAAACTGTTTGTTTGGAGTTATGATTTCAATCCAAATGTCTAATAACAATTAACAAGGTTTGAATTAAGATATATAGCCTTTCACAAGAATATTGGAGAACAAAGAATCTATTTTTAATTCCTTTTAGTATAGTAACCTCGATATGCACTTGTTATGGGTTTTGCAAGGCCCAAGGCAAAAGACCTAGAGGAAGATCTTAGTAGTAAATTGCCTTTCACGAGAAACAAGTGTTCCCTTGTTCTCACTCTCACCCAAATTAGATAATTCCACCTGCAGATGCATCACCCATTGTCCATATCAATGAGACAGTTGTCTGCATAGCGTGTGGCGTCCCTCGCGGGCAGTTTTAATCGATTTCAATTTGTAAAAAGAAAAGTGTGTCATTCTTATATATTCAAATCCATTCACTTTCACATTACTTTGATTCTCTAATTGACTTGAGCATAAGGGTGCTAACAATGTAGGTCCACCACCGCATCACAAAACCAGAAATCAAATGCACTTTTTTACGATCCATCTCACCATTTCAACAACAGTTATGGTTCCACGTCTAAATTTTTATTGCATTTATCGCTACTAGCATAGCTTAGCCACTTTCTCTAGAAGTTGAATATTTAGTCCTCTTCACCTTTCCATCTGATCCAACATCGTAATATTTATCTCCTTTGCAACACCTCCAAGGATAAATCCAAGGTGGGCCAACAAATCTTCCCCTTTTCAACTCGTGAAACCTGGACAAGATACACTTCCCGACCTTTAGCTCTTGCAAGCCAGCCGAGTTGTGCAAGAAGGGATTGATTTATTGAATAACATGTATAACCTGGTGCATCAGCTATGCTCGTAGGACCTCGCTAATAGGATCTTGAGAATTAAAGAGAACTTGTGATTTACTCCTCCAAGAAACAACACCATAAGATGGACCCTCTATTTGTGCATATCCTTGATAGCAGATTACCGAGATCCGTGGAGAAGATTCTTAAGTTCTCTAACTATGACGGGACCGGGGATCCCGACAAGCACATCGAGTACATAGATAACCAGCTAGATTATTATCATGCTGATTGGGTGTAAATTGCAAACTCTTTCCCTAACCCTTAATAAAGCTATTAAAACATGTTGCAAAACCCCCTAAAGGGAGCCTTAATTTAAGAAAGGACATATATGATACCTTCACCGCCCAATTCACCACTCGGAAGCAAAAACTAACAACCATAGTGGTCCTCAACGAGATCATGTAGGAAAGGAAGAAGACTGTATTGGGTATATAGAACTATTCACAAATGTGCCAGTAGCGGTAGGAGGCATGGACGAAGGGCTGAAATGTTGGATATTTAAGAAGAGCCTCAGACCAGAGTGCATCTTCTAGATAAAACTAGGGCTCGAGGGGATATTTAGTTTGAGAAATCTATTGAATATGGTATAACCCTGCATGAACTAGGAAGAAGAGCTCTTAGCTAAGGAGAGCGAGAAAAATTGGGGAGTTAGAGGTGCCGACTATTACAAAGTTCTATAGAGGGACAACAACCGAGAATGGACGATGGATGGAGAGGATCATGGCAAAGGCTCCAGTATACACTCCTTTGAACAATTAAAGGGATATGATCTGGAAGGGATGCAAAAAAAAATTGACTTCAAATAAAGTGGGGATCAGTAATCCCTACCCAATCAAAGAATTTCCAAGGCTAAACATGTCCAAATATAATTGTTTCTATAATTTGCATGGTCATAACACGAATGATTACTTTGGGATAAATAATGAAATCAAAGAACTAATTAAGAAAGGCATTATATCTTGAATATATAGTCAAGAAAGGAGAAGGGAATTTGAGGGCTGTATGGAGTCATAGAGGCATAAATGGTCTATACGAAGGGATAAGTTATCCCATAAGAAAGTCATTGAGGATATGGTTAGGAGAAAAGAAAATAAAGGAAGCAATAT